CCCCCCCTCCTATCCCCTTTCCTTAATCCCTCATTTTCACTCTCACTACAGCTTTGACGCAATATATAGAACTATATTTCCCATTAGAATTGTACATTCAAATTTTCTGACGATATGGTAAATATTTTATATTGCTTATACTTACTATATTTATTTATTTCAGGTACTTGTATAGTGCTGTCAATTTATGCAGCACTTTACATATATATATTGTACATTCACATCAGTCCCTAACACTCAAGGAGTGTACAATCTAAAGTCCCTAACTCACATACCAGGGACAATTTAGACAGGAGCCAAATAGCCTACCAGCATGTCTTTGGTGTGTGGGAGGAAACTGGAGGAAACCCACGCAGGCACAGGGAGAACATGCAAACTCCAGGCAGGTGGTGCCGTGGCTGGGATTCGAACCAACGACCCGAGTACTGCCAGGCGAAAGTGCTAATCATTTAGCCACTGTGCTGCCCACTATATGAAACCCATTCTCTACCATTTCATGTTTATACACATTATGTTTTATGTATTTGCTTTACCATGATATGCTCATTGTTTTTTTTCATCCCATATATCTTTACTTTATGGCATTTTATGTAAAAACTATTCTTAGAAATAAAGAATGTATTAAAAAAAAATCTTAATGAGATGCAATAGAATAATTATGTTTAAGGCTTGGTAAAGACTGTCATCACCCAACAGCACTATGAACTGCCAGCTGGGTTTACATTAGTAAATTAGAAGAACTTGCAAGGAGCCAGGAGATGACCATAATAGAGGAGATCCACAAGTTCTGCTACAAGCATTAATTTCTTTTTTGTTTTAAAACAATTGACGTTTATTCATAAAAAAGCAGAGCATATAAACATCAGTGAACAACAAAAAGCTTTGAAGGTTATAAAGTCATGTAGTACATTTAAAAAGATGTTGGCTTCAGAAAAAGCTCGATAATACAATCAGATCAGTGGTCTACACGAAGCACTCACAAATTGAGACGTTTATAAATTGAAGGTACAAACATCAAAACTGACATAAGAAAGCACATGAACAGAAGAAAAAGGTTTAGGAAAGAAAGAGAGAGAACAGCAATCGTAAGCAGATCCAGTCTGCAAGCAGTGTCAGGTATCCACCAGCATGAAACGCACATCAACAAGTAAAAAAAGTATTATTCGCCCATCAGCCCTCTATACGTTTCTGAGAAAGTGAAAGCATACCAACTGGACCATAGTTTGTGGAATCTGGCAACCATGTCATAGTCAATGTCCTTTCCAATTCCTGAATAACGTTAGCCTCTCTTATCCAATCTTGGATCGAGGGGGCATGAGCAGTCTTCCAATGCCTGGGGATTAGGGACTTGGCCACACTCAAAAGGTGCCAAACCAAGGATTGCTGTACGATTTCATTAAGCACTCAGAGATATGGAGGAGACACAGGGGCGGACTGACAACTCATGGGGCCCCCGGGCAATAGTGGATCATGGGGCCCCTGTGTCCTTGCCCAAACTCAAAAGAGCCTATGAAAAAGGTACCAGGGGCATCTCATGGGGCCCTCTACTGACCCTGGGCCCTCAATAGGGGATCATGGGGCCCCTGTGTCCTTGCCCAAACTCAAAAAAGCCTATGAAAAAGGGACCAGGGGCATTTCATGGGGCCCCCTACTAACCCTGGGCCCTCGGGCAGTGCCCAAGTTTCCAAATGGTCAGTCCGCCCCTGAGGAGACAGCATTCGGAGGTTAAAGGTAATGTGGTCTCAATAATAGAGTATGTCAACTTGCGAACTTTGTCCCAAAATGGCAAAAGCCTTAGACATTGCCACCACACATGTAACAGGGTACCTTTGGCTGACTCACATCGCCAACTTAACCCTGACATCAGGCGAAACCACCTTTTTAACCTATCTGGTGTAGCATACCATCTTGTTAACAGTTTGTAAGAGGTTTCTTGGGTTCTAGTGCTAATAAAGCATTTGTGAGTGAAAATGCAGACTTTTTTCCATTGCTCATCAGAAAACTCTACCTGAAGGGCTGATTCCCAACCCATCCAAAAATTATCAGGGGGTTCAAAGTGAGTGTTTTGAAGCCATGAATAGGCCAAAGAGGTGTTTTTTTCGACTGGTTTCCCCTTTAAACATAGCGTTTCTACAGTTGTGAGGGGCCTAGAAAAAGCTTCTTTCCATCTGAGATTAGTCAGGTAATTGTGTATTTGAAAATAAGTCCAGTACGGGATTGAAACCTTTCCACAAAGTTCCTGGAGCTCTCCTTTGGACTTGACTTCCCCACATTTGAGGCAATGGGTCGCCAACAAAGATAGGCCTGACTCGTGAACTGGAATCACACCAGTCTTGTATTAATTTCTAAGCAACCAAAGATCTTGGGAGCTGGTTTCCTGTAGTCATCAGTCACTCACAAAGTGTCAGAATAAGCTCCAGAAAGGAAACATGGGAACTACTGACCATATTAAAAGCCTCAGAATCAGTTTATAGATCTCTCCAATAAACAGGCTACTCCACCCAGAGCACACACTCCCCAAAAGGTTTCACTCCATTTGGAGCTCACTCATAGGGAATCTCTTTATGGCACTATGAACTACTGGTTGCTTTACATTAGAAAATTAGAAGACCTTGCCAGGAGCCCAAGAGATGACCATATTCCCTGGCCCATATCTAGCCATACCCCATTAGTACATTTATAAATAAGTCAATAACAGGATAAAATACGGTAAGACTTTTAGCATTTGTAGATAAGGGTGTTAGATCATAATCCTAAAGTATTAAGTTTTTACATTTGCAATAATCTACAATATATCCATAAGCTTACAAAAAGGAAATAGTAAAAATATACGACAACTGTTTTTACAGGGCAATCTTAGCCAAAAAGAATTAGCTCATAAATAAAAAATTTGAAGAACGCAATAGAAAAAAAATCCCCAGAAATTCCCTTTTCCACATTGGCTCTTTATTCTCCAAGGGAAGATTGACATAATAGGTCTTAACAATAACTATCATGTTCGTGTATTTTAAACAAGTGAGGAATGTTGAGACTTTGCTGACTTTAAGTATCACTATTACGTTGTAATTAAAAGGAAGCCCTAACCTGCTTCTTGTGAGCCTCTTGTCTTGAAGGTTCCATTTGCTAATGGTTATCAAATGGGCGGTTGTTTATTTTACAAGGGAAAGCCTACCCCGCAGACCTGGTAGTCTAAGTACTTTAAATAAACATTTTCTGTAAACTCTAAAATGGTACATTTACCCGACTCTCTATAAAGAGCTCATTTATGTTCAGACCAGAGGAGAAAATACACGGAACAAAGGATTATTTGAACTTTATCATCAATGAACTCCAATCTTGGAGTCTGGGCACCTGATATTTTCTTTCCAGAGTGAAAGAAGCAGGGATGTTGTAGGCTAACTCAGACCTGTTGACATTTAAAATAAATGAAAATCAAATTCCTTCAAGATTGTAAGTTTAGTGTTTGAGCTGTTTTTATATACATTTTAAGCAACTGTTTACATAGCTCATTTTGCCAATGTTTGTGGAAATGCTTCCAGCTCGGTGAAAGATGATCAGTCTGGGCAGAGTTCAGAGTTGTTTCAGGAATAAAAAGCTCCCTGACTTAAGGGGAAAACAAATGTGTCCATCTCCACGTCCCCTCATACGCTACACCTCTTTACTGACAGGTTGCTACAATGCTGTTTTCCATGACTGCATTACAAGAAGGGAGCATGACCCAATAAACAAGACCATTTTTCATAAACTTAATAAAAAAATGTTTTGGGAAAATTAAAACTTACTACACTCTGATCAGTTACATCAAAGAAGTTTATTCCTCTCAGTACTTTCTGCACACATTCCTCCGCTGACGCGTTTCACTTGCTTAATTTTCAAGTCAGACTCTAAGGCAGCCTTTCTCAACCTTTTCAGCACAGGGGGACCCTTGAAATAACTTTCCAATCTTAGAGAACCCGTACTGAAAATTAATACATCTACAACTATGCCCCCATGCTTTCTACAACGTCCATTGGAAGTCTTCTGCATCCCTGGTCTGGCTTCAGCTCCCCACCAACAGCACACTCCACATCGCCCGACGAAGGCAACAAGCCCTCTCACCAGCCCTGCAATTCAGCTGGCTTCTTGTAGTAGAGATGGGGCACCCTGCTCTCTCTCTCTCTCCCTGTGATGCCTCCGAAGACTTGAGGTGGGAAGCTGTGGGTGAGAGGTCTCTCCAGTCCTTCTGCGGCAAAGGCATCGCTTGAACACAGTGGTCTGTATTGTGCAACAAGGGCATCTTCTTCCCTTTCCTTCTAGGCCTTCCAACCACTCTCTCCCAACCCGGCCTGGCAGCAGCAAACCCTAGGTGCAGACGTTCGCCCCTCAAGTCCGATGGTGCTAAGAGAGCAAATTTTCCCGGGCACTCTAATAAAAACCATATCATCTCACACCCTGCTCCTCAATGCCTTTTGGGAACTGTCATGTAAAGAGTTCACCGGCCCATTGAATCGCTGCCGTCTCAATCTACAACTCAGATAATTCACTGCTCTCTGCATAAATGTCTATGGGCTGGTTTGACTTTGTTCTCCCCCTTCTGGTTGGAGGTAAAAACACAGCACAATACCAACATTACAGTAGAAAGTGGAGTAATGGAGGGCATTGTCTGCTTGTTGCAGTAGCCCAGCTTCCAGCTACACCAGTGTTAATTTTGTAGTACAATCTCTGAATTTTCTTCTTTTGATGTAGCACATACTCAACAAGTATCATTTATTGCAACAATTTAGCCCACTATTTGCCTACAACTGTTCATTCTTGCTGGCTGAAATTGATATAGATTTGACCTGAGACACATAATAATTTAAAATTATTAGTACTTAGAGAAAAACCCACATGGTTGCATGGTTAGTCAGGTTGGGAAAAGGCACGTCTAGTTCAACCAACAGCAAAAAAAAAATTGAAAAAATTAATTAAAAAAACTTCCATATACAGACTCTCATACCCAGGGGCAGACTGACAACTCATGGAGCCCCCGGGCAATAGGGGATCATGGGGCCCCTGTGTCCTTGCCCAAACTCAAAAAAGCCTATGAAAAAGGTACCAGGGGCATCTCATGGGGCCCCCCCACTGACCCCGGGCCCTCGGGCAGTGCCCGAGTTTCCAAATGGTCAGTCCGCCCCTGCTCATACCCATAGTTGATCCAGAAAAAAAAAAAAAAAGATCCAAAAGACGAAAAAATAATCTTAGAAAGCATGATTCAGTTTACTCCAATTGGGAAAAATAAATTCCTTCCTGATCCTCCAGAAGGCAATCAGATATTTCCTATATCAACCTAGATGTTATTTATTGAACATGTTATATGCATGTCTATAGAAATATAAGTGAATTGTCTGCTTTAATTAATTTATTCTGTTGCATTAATATTTTCCAAAGTAACTACTAATACAAATGGCAAGTATAAAATAATGTAAGTGTGGCCTTTGAGTTACCGCATACATCAAATATTCTATATTTCCTGTTTACACACTCAGAAATGAAAGGAGAGTTTCTCTACTGCGATTTGTACAGAAATGTTCAAAGGCGTACTGACAATTTGTAAGTTAAACATACTCTGAAGTTAATGATTTCTTGAAATCTTTTGCAGAATGGACTCCTCTGTATGTTGGTTCCTGCATAATGAAGTGGTTTTCCCCTTAAAAGTGTGTGCCAAAAAAAAAAAGAAAAAAGATCTATTATGAGCAACTGATGGGTTGGTGTGGCTGGCATGATAACAAGGTTGTTCGGCAGCAAAAGCCAACCTGTCTCAGATGTTTATAATATACCAAATGCTGAAGTCTAGCTTTAGTCCCCCCCAGGTCTTCACTGCACTTGAAAAAAAGCCCAAAGTATCAAAACTCTTATGTTGAGGTTTTTCTGGCCAATCCGGTGCAGTCACGTGTCCCTCCTTTTCTGGTCCAGCCATCCATAATGACTTGAGCACCTTGCAGTGATGTAGTGCCCATGTACTCACTATGCTCAGGTACATGACTGATGGACATGCAGAATATCGAGGCTAATACTTACTGCCTAATCCATAAAAACCACCACCACCCTTCAACCTCCCCCACCTAAATGACCACGCGACTCTCTTTTGGTGTAAAACCGGCCATAGCAGCCATTTATTTAACATAACTTTAACATAACACTTCTTACAGTACAATCAAATAATAACTGACAGTAATGATCCCAACCGGGTCCAAGGTCTTCGAAGGCAACATTACTCACATCACAAACTCGACTGTCTCTGACACCCAATGAAATGGCCCCCAGCCTCTACTACACCGCCTCGGGGACAATACTACAGTTACGTAGTCCCAGATACAGCCAATGAACTCCCACATTACCAACGTAACCTTTTCATTGGGAAGGAACACTCATACCTACGATGGGCCCAACCCATAATCCACCAAATTGTCACTCCAGCACCACCTTCAAAGACCCATCGACCCCTGCCGGCTACCATGAGAAAACAAACAGACAAACATCTCAGTTCCAGACAAGAAACAAACTCAACGAACCCACACAAAACAAACAACAGGACAAACACAAAGAACAAACCATAACCCAAACAGCAAAACAAAATACAAAACAGCTCCAGGGAGGGAGGGCGGGAGAAACCACCCCCGTGCTGGCACAAGCTCCGACTGACCTCCGAAAAGACCCAACCCCCCTCCTAATCCTGGCAAGACCAACCCTCAAGGTTGCGTACTCCAATCAGGTGAGTAACCACCCCCTTACCTCCTGCATATACTCCCACCCAAATACACGCTCCGCCTAGTCTGCACGCCCCAGTCATGCTGGCCCTCGATTTTAGCTTTGCTCAGTCCAGGCCTTGACTGGTGTAGCGCTACCCCTGCAGGGGTTGCTGAGATTAACTGGTTCTTTCCCAAATAGTACAGAGCCTGCCAGTTACCCAAGCTACGTTTCATTCACTCAAATAAACAGTCTATTGGTTGCCTTTTTAAAATTTATTGCTGGTAAATCTTGTAACAGAATGGGGATTACAGTATGGGATTCTCCAAAATGCTCCACAGTGGTTGGTGGACAGAGGACAGTCTTTCTAGTAGTAGTGGTAGGAATGAACAGTCCAAGGCCCCACAGCTGTTGGCCATGGGGCACGTCTTTGGGCCTCTGGTTACCTTGTGTCAATGTGCAACTATCACTACCCGGTGCAGTGTCCAGCACACAGTCTCAGTGTAAGCGAATTCCTGTGAGACGGCTGGCTAATAGAGATGCGCATGCGCACAGCAGTCTCCGTAGAATAGTGCCCAGGCGTGCGCATGTGCACAGAAATGCGTGATCGAGCACAGGCATGCGCACAGTGAATATTGGCGCCAGACGGACTATTTAAAGGATGCTTCTTCCTGTGCTTAGTGCTGACTGGTTTTCAGCTGTTTCCCCTGTGTCCTGCTGTATTCTTGTATGATTCCCTTCTTGCTGGCCCGGCTTGTTCCTGACCTGACTTCGGATTCTGCTTCTGCCTTGTTGCTAGTTCCTGTTCCCGGCTCTGTTCCTGACTTCGGCTTGCTCATGATTTGGTACCTCGCTGTCCACCCGTTGATGACAGAAATGTGCATGCGCACAGCAATCTCCGCAGAATAGTGGCCAGGCGTGCGCATGTGCACAGAAATGCACGATCGTACACAGGCACGCGCACACTGAATATTGGCGCCAGATGGAGTATTTAAAGGATTCTTTCTCCTGTGCTTAGTGCTGACTGGTCTTCAGCTGTTTCCCTGTGTCCTGCTGCTGTATTCTTGTATGATCCTCTTGTTGCTGACCCAGCTTGTTCCTGACCTGACTTCGGATTCTGTGCCTTCCTTGTTGCTAGTTCCTGTTCCCGACTGTGTTCCTGACTTTGGCTTGCTTATGATTTGGTACCTCGCTGTCCGCCCGTTGATGACCTTGGCTATTCCTGTGACCTTGCTCCTGTCTCCGATCCCAGCTTCCTGTCTTGTTGAGTGCCCGTCTGGCTGTCTAATATACCAGCTCTGCTCACCATAAAACTGTTCCTGCTTCAAGTCAGCCGAGAGATCTGACACGCCACTTATCCTGAACATATTGTGTAAGCGGAGTGCCCTTTTAACCCAGGTTGGATTTCAAAACATCGCTACCGTTCCTGAACCGGTGGTTCGCCAGTCTCTTCAGGACTCCAACGGCAAGCTCTTCAGGCAACACTTGCTGGCACTCTTGTTCCTCTGGTCCCTCGGCACCCTCTGTGTCACTTCCAGGGGGTCAGGGCTAGTGACACAAGTGAGGCCGACCTTATCCTGAACCTGTTGTGTAAGCGGAGTGCCCTTTTAACCCAAGTGGGATTCCGAAACATCGCTACCGTTCCTGAACCGGTGGTTCGCTAGTCTCTTCAGGACTCCAATGGCAAGCTCTGCAGGCAACACTTGCTGGCACTCTTCTTCCTCTGGTCCCTCGGCACCCTCTGTGTCACTTCCAGGGGGTCAGGGCTAGTGACACAAGTGAGGCCGACCTTATCCTGAACCTGTTGTGTAAGCGGAGTGCCCTTTTAACCCAGGTGGGATTCCAAAACATCGCTACCGTTCTTGAACCGGTGGTTCGCCAGTCTCTTCAGGACTCCAGCTACAAGCTCTTCAGGCAACACTTGCTGGCACTCTTGTTCACCTGGTCCCTCGGCACCCTCTGTTCCACTTCCAGGGGATCAGGGCTAGTGACACAAGTGAGGCCGACCTCATCATTTCATTCTCCTATCAGTTACGTGACACTCAGGGATCAACATACGGTCACTTCTCACATGTCCCCAGGACTGCTGCCTCCTTCCAGCTTCCTCTGGAGCCAAACCCGTGAGTGAGATAGCACCTCTCAGGACCAGATCCCTTGTAGTGTGGTTCTGCTGTCAGTTCTGAGCAAGTCCCTTTATTCCTGGCCCTTCCTAGGACTCCTAGATCAGCTGTTCATTCCATGAGCTTCCTAGCAGCAGCAGCCTCTGCACCTCTGGAACTCTCTTGGGGAGTAGGAACCCTGCTCTCCAGTGTCTCAGACTATTAGTCCACACTCCAGCCACCTACTGGACACTTCTTCCCCAGGGTTAGGCTGGAGCCTGATAAATATTCAGGCTGGTTGATCTGAATCCCCTGCCCTATGATCGCAGTATTCATTTATTCTAAGGTCTCTAAAGAAGACACAAAGCCGCACAATGCAGTTGAAATGGTTCAATCTTAAACTGCATAAGGGTTCTTTACTGTCAGAGCGGTAAGGATGTGGAGCTTTTTTCCACAGCTGGTGGTGTGAGCCGGGAGTGTAGATAAATTCAGAAAAACTTTTTGATATATCTCTTAGCGAATGCAATGTACAGGGATACGGAAAATGGTAGTGACAAGGAAGCACACAGAGTATTTATTCAACCTTACCAACTATTTGTAGATGGACCAACATCTAGAGGTGGTTGTTGAGGGGCAAAATGGGATAGAGTCCAGCAATTTAAAGTGGTTCTAAAGGCTCAAGGTTTTTTAACCACTGCACAAAACAGGTAAGTATAGACATGTTTGCTATTTAACCGCTTCCCGTCCGGCCCATGTATATAGCTGTGCAGGGGCGGGTGGCCGTTTATAAACATGCTCCCCGCCTGTGCGTGCTGCCCGGGATCCGGTGCCCGCTGTGTCCGGAGGACACTGATCGCTGTACGGGACCTCTGTGTGAGGTCCCGATCATGTCATCACATGAATAGTAGTAAGCAAGATGTCACTTCTGACATCATTGCTTACTACGTGTGAAATCTGTGAATGATCACAGAGGTCACATGGTACAGGGCCATTCACAACAGCCTTGTACCATGTGACAAGCTGTGACCAATCACAGCTCACACAGTAGTTCTCAATGGCTGCAAGAATGCAGCCAGAGAGGAGAAATGATTGCGTTTACAGCCTTTATGGGTGTAAAAGCAATCAGTGTACAAAAAATAATTAAATCTTCATTAGCCCCCGCAAGTAGTACAGTGTTACTATGGTGACACTTTACTGCTAGGATGACAGTATGTTAAAAAAAAAAACATAAATAATAATATAAAAAAATAAAATAAAAATGTAACA